AGTAACTTGTAAGATGAGAACTCAAAAAGTAACATACACATTTACTATGAAAAAGTATGAGAATGTGTAAAAGTCAAACATGAAGCATATTACAGAAAATCTTAGAGAATCAGTACCAAATCTAATACCCTACTAAGGTCCTTTTTTTTTTTCATTACCTTTTTTTAAATTTAAAAAGTAATATAATGTTCACAGTTACAATTTCAAAAAAATAAAGAAGCATAAGCAAAAAGTGAAAGCCTTTCCTCCTCCTAATCTTACTTCCTAAGGTAGCCAGTTTAGTATTTTTAAATATCAAGATAAAATAAGTTTGAGTCTATAAACTATTTTTAATATAAAAACGGGATTACACTGTACATACTGTTCTGCAAATTTCTCTTTCACTTGACTTATATCACTGATACTGTTAGATCTGACAGTCAGGTTGCTTTATCACCTGATATCTTTGATTGTGGCTCTCTTCATGGGATCCACCTGCAGCATATGTTTCAAAAGGCTAATCACAGAAGGATTTAAATACTGAGGGGTATAAAAGATCCCATCACATATCTTCTTAAAAAGAGTTGGCACATGATCATCATCAAATGGAAGGGTTCCACATAATAAAGCATAGAGAATAACCCCACTGCTCCATATATCCACCTCTGGACCAGCATACAGTCTGCAACAGGAAATACCAACTGGGTTAAACAAGCATTAGTAACTTAAGAGTCAATTAATTAATCATACATTTTACATACAGATACTTCATAAAGAATTCTTAGTCAGAATATGGTTTCTATAAGTCACTGCTATGTACTACACATAGAGATTCTACACTAATTCTATCAGTATTATCTTGGAAAACAAAAATTAAGAATTTTTTTAAAGTTATAGACTATAGCTAAAATTCTCTCCTTACTACCTTACAATTGTCCTCATGATATCCAACCAATAGGGCCAAACTTTGAACAAACATATCATTACTAAATTTAAAACCACTGTTTTTTGGTTACAGATCAAGTGATCTTTCCTCAACTGGGAATGTTCTGTAGTGATGGACTATAAACCCACTTTCCCCAATAACCCAAGACCTTATACCGAGGTAAAAGGTGCCTGAAGCTGTGGAATGAAGCCCAGCTAACTGATTTGCAGAGGACTTTAAACTCTTATTTAAACTGTACTGTAGCCTGCTGACTTAACTGTCATCGTTATTTAGTCGCTAAGTCATGTCCAACTCTTTTGCAACCCAATGGACTGTAGCCCGTCAGGCTCCTCTGTCCATGGAATTCCCCAGGCAAGAACAGTGGACTGGGTTACCATTTCCTACTCCAAGGGATCTTCTTGACCCAAAGATCGAACTCAGGTCTCCTGCATAGCAGGTGGATTCTTTACCACTGAGCCATCAGAGAAGCCCTACTGACAATTAGCTGCAGACTAACTAGATAACCCATTCAAAGTCTGGCTTCAGGGAAAGGATTTCTTTAAATTGGTCAAATAAATTATTGAACTGACTAATAAATACTAGTTTGAAAGTAGAGGTTTCCATACATCTAGACCACACAGAAAGACCTTATCCAAACTGGGAAAACAAACTTCAGTAATGGTCCATTATATATATGCACAATTAGTATATCTTTTTGTTTAGTTAATGAACAATGCCCCCAAAATCCAGGTCCTGAATTGTCTTCTTCCCCAAATAATTTACACAGTCCACATGAAATAATTTTAACATTCACCTGCTAATATAAAAAGATAATGATGAACCTTGATAAATCTAAAATTAGATATTTTTGCATTACTCATATCCATGCCTTAACACAAACATAATTTCTGTGTAGGCTAGGCTAGCTAGCTTATGAAAATAGAAAGAAAATACTACAATATTTCTGCATTCTAAATTAGGATGTAAGACATTCAAACAAAGAAATAAGGTTTGAATGAAAAGTTATTAAAAGTTAATTATAAAAACTAGTAAACAAACTTTAGCTTCTCTGTTTTCTATTTCAGTAGTATAATGAAGAACAATTCCTCTTCAAAAAAGTAAATTTTACTGTTATATAAACTATTCAAAAAGCTGCCTTATACTAAGATCTTCATGTTCTCAATGCTGGCAGTTAGTATAAATAAACTGAGAGACTAGAATTCTTATTTTAGTCTCTAGAAGATTTAAAGAATGAAAATTAAAAATAAATGAAATCTGAAGTTTTTATCAATACTTCAGTCCAATTCCCCGAAATACCTTATCATAAAAGCTAAAGCTAATTTGAAAAATTAAAGCTACACATTACACTTTTAATTCTTCATCTAAGCAAATAGTAAACCATTTCTTACTACTAGCTATTTATGTATTATTCAAGTTTTTAATGTCTCACTTTTAAACTTGCTAGTTTTTAAGCCTTCAATTTCTTCCACCAGGGGAAAAAAATGAAAGTACTCTCATTTAACTAATATTATATTAACTTACAAACCAATATCCTCCTCTATAAATGGAGTTCTTAATCCTTACTCACTTATAATGTTTTATTCTTAGAACACTTTTTGGATGAGAAAAGAATAAGCTTTAAATTTCTTTCACTAGAATTGAGTATTATACTACAGACTAACGAAGTCTAGAAGAAAAATATGGTTACAAATATACTGGGCAGGGAGGAGGTGTCAAACACTACCTTCCTGAAATTACTTCTGGTGCAGCATAGTTGGGTGAGCCACAACTTGTTCTTAAAAATTCACCATCTGACATCATGTTTGAAAGACCTGAAAATGCACAAAATTCACTGCTCAAGATTTCCCAAGGACAAAAATAAAAACAAAATTCCATTAAACAATAAAACTGAGTTTGCATTAAAGTGATAAATCATCATTTTGTTCTTTCTTTCAACAGAATCCTACATCCTTTATTGTTTCCAAATATTCTGCCTTTATGCCATAAAACTTGTAATCTGTTTCAACAGTTAAAGTTAGTGCAAGGTCAGGAGTTCAGTGAGTACATATTAAGCTATTAGTTATTTTGCTTATTAGAATAAACTGGGCAAGTTAAAGATGCACAGACTTAGAGAACGAACTTATATTTGCCAGGTGAGGAATAACAGGGGGTGGAGAGAGGGAGTTTGACATTGACATGCATGCTCTTGCTGTATTTAAAAGGGATGACCAACGATCCTGCTGTAGCACAGGGAGCGCTGCTCAGTGTCACGTGGTAGCCTGGATGAGAAGGGAGTTTGGGAGAGAACGGATACATGTGTNGAGTAACTTCAGCCCAGTCTCTTCCTCTTGCTCCATAGTTGATCAAAAAGAACACATGGAAATAGGTTGCTAACTTCTCCTTCACAAATAATGGTCTCTTTTCAGATGATGTCGCTAATGCTGCCAATTTCAATTGTCTGCCTAATGTAATAAAAGTCAATTTTAAAGACATAAAGCTATGAAAAGAGAATTCCTTATTTTTACTCCTTTTTGTATGTTCCTATACTAACAGTGAGGATATACTACTTTGGGATATTCAGTTGATTATATACAAGTTACCTGAAAAAACCTACTGATGTTTGTTAAACATAATGAACATATGAAACTATAAAAATCTCCTTACCAAAATCAGCTATCTTTGCATTCATGTGTGCATCAAGCAGGACGTTTTCAGGTTTCAAATCTCTGTGGACCACCATATGCCTGTGACAGTAATCCACACCAGAAAGGATTTGTTGAAACAGTCGTCGACTTTCTTTTTCATCCAGCTAAGAAAAAGTAGAGAGGCAACTTAAAGGTGTGTCTTTCAAAAGAAAGTAGTCTATCTATAATTCTCTAGCCTATAAAACTGTGAAAATGCAAGAATCTTCCAAATGAACCTCACTTATGAGATGCTTTTCAAATGGGGAGATGGTATAGGCAGCATAAAACAGAAATGCTAGGAGGATCTTAGAACTCAAATCAGTAACTCAATTTTCTAATATTATCACTCTCATGACTATACTCTGTAATAGCTTGTTCTCATCTAAATATCATGTGCTATTCAAATAATTTCAATTTTTACTTGAAACTAGGCATGTTTTCTCCTATAAATTACTAATACTTACTCTTTGATTCTTTTAGCAAATATAATACCTTCAATGTGCCATGCACTGTTTTAGACACTCGTGATATAGCAGTGATTAAAAAAAGGCCCTAATCTAGTTAAAGAACAGACACATAAATAAAAAGAAAGAGTGTTCTGAAGAAAAACAAAGCAGGACAACAGCACAGAGAATTATGTTGGGGTGGGGAACACTGGTTTGAACCATATGAGAAAGCAACATTTAAGCATTGTTAATGAATTAGCAAGCAACCATGTTATCCTGTCTTCTGAAATAAAAGGTGTTTTAATTTAAAAAAAAGAAAAACCCTAATTCATTTGTTTTATAAAATATAGTGAAAGTGAAGGTCACTCAATGTCTGACTCTTTGCAACCCCATGGACTATATATAGTCCATGGAATTCTCCAGGCCAGAATAGTGGAGTGGATAGCTGTTCCCTTCTCCAGGACATCCTCCCAACCCAGGGATCAAACCCAGGTCTCCTGCATTGCAGGAGGATTCTTTACCAGCTGAGCCACGAGGGAAGCCTTTATAAAATATAACAGCATTTATCTTTACTCCGCTTACTGAAAAAATCATATCTTATGCTGTACCACATTTTAAAAAATATTTTTTAAAAACTTCTCCTTCCATTTATCTATATTTTCTTATTTTATGATTTTTTTTCCATAAGTGAAAACCATTACTTGGATATGCCTGCTCCCAAGAAGTCATATTTAATAAACAAGCTATTAATCCTCTAGGCAAAGGACTCTAACATGCAATTCTTTAACACAGGTCACAAATTAGCATTCTAAAACCAGGTTCCTACACCTTAAATGGTAATAGATAATCTGGAAGATGAACCAGTAAATTCTTTTGAAAGCAAAACCAAAACTATCAAAGAGATAAGAGATACCCTTCCTCAAGAGCAGGTAATAATGATTAGCAATCTAGTTTACTTCTAGAAGAAATATAGGTTCATTTTCTAATACGACTTCATATATAAATATACTAAATAAAAAGAACAATGTGTTCTAAATGTGAAAGAAAAGAAAATTAACTGAATAAACAAAATACAAGAGGTAAAACAAATAGTTAGGCTACAAAAATGAAAGTTATATTCAATACTATATTAATAATAAATACAGTACAAAGGACCAAGGAGGGGAAGTCTATAGAGAAAGACTAGAAAAGTCAAAGCATATTTCCATTTAAACATGGAAGATGGAACATCACTAAGATGACAGCATATAAAGACAAAAGAGCAAGAGAAGGCAGGGCAGTAACTGAGGGGAGTCAGTAAGTGAGAGGGTAGATGACCAGTGATAAAGACTTGGCTAACCACAGAAAGCGGAAACCTAAGCCTTTAGGGATGGAGCTCAATGATAAACCCATCTGCACACAGACTTCCTGAAGGGCTTAGCTATTGGAAGTGTTGGGAATTTCTGATGGTAGAAGTGAGAAATGGACTGAAAACAGGACAGCTGATTGAAGAGAGAAGTTTTAAGCTCACCACCCTTACTGGGGAATAAGAGCCATGATTTACTCTTTAGTAAGGCTAAACCAGCCCTGTTCCTCAAGGACACTAGAGCAGGAATGAGGCACCACATGGAGAACACGGGGCTTAAATAAAAGTCAGCATGGTAATCAGTGAGCCTTGTGGGCCTTTCCCCATTTAGCTCGCAGACCTAAGCTAAGCTCACACCCTCAAGGAAACTGGAAGTTTTCTTCTGGAGCAACTATCTGAGCAAGGAAAAATATTTTTTATTATTGACATTTGGTGTTCCCTAGTAAAACAGACA